TCATAACGTTACTAGTTTTGTTTCTACTGTAAGGAGGTGTAACAAATGCTTTTTCAGGGGTTCCACACAGGTGAAATTTTAGAAAAATATTAAACGAGAATACACACAAATCACAAATGGCTAAAAAAAAAATAATAAAAGTCTTTAGTGGAAAACAATTTTATCCTCCTCCTGCTTATAGATCTTAAACATACACAAAGTGTTCATTTCAAAACTGAAAATTCAGTTGTGATAAGGCTTGATTACACAGCCATTTCCCAAGTCTTATTGCAACAAATTATGAAATATTTCTATGCAACTTCGTATCTTCAACTGTACAGGTAAAACAATTCTTGAAATCAACTAGCACTTCAATCCCTGCATTTTTAATATATAAACTCAACATAGTACTGAATTATACATTTAAAACATTTACACACTTGACCAACAGCAGTACCAGCATTTATTGCCTTCAAACTGCATGTTCACTGCATGGAAGTTCCTTATTTTGCACAAAGGTAACAAAGAAAAGAGGATAATATTTTTTTCCTAATTATAAACTCTAGAATGGTTCCATGGGAGATTGAAATGTGCTGGGGAATGCTGTTAGAAAGGATTTATCAATTTCAAGTATCAAGCTGTAACAGATTGGAAAAAAAAATAAAATCACATGGGTAGTGTCTTTCTCTTGAGGTTGGAAGGGTCTTCCAAATCTTTTATAAGAATGGCTTAAAAGGACAGGAAAAGCAGGACAGGGAAAGGGAAGAAATGGAAAAGCAGAATCTACTTTAATTCACGGAGAAGGGAAAGCCAGGGATATCTTATTTCTCAGTTGCTAGGGCCCCAAGAAATCTCATATTGAAAAAAGGGTTTTGTAAGACAGCTGAGAGCTTAAGGCTCTACAGCAAATCACATTTCACGATTTGCTTCGTGATCAGTGCGCTAGAAAGCATTAATCTCATTTACTGCAGAGAGGGCACAATCTACTTGTATTAAAAGCAAATTTACGGGGTGGTGGTGCTGGCTCTTTATATTTCAATTGTTACTATGAGGCTTTGCGTATAGTGAGGGACTGGAACAGCTATGGGAGGAATGAGTGGTGGTTGTTCCTTGCAGAAAAGTGTAGAAAACCAAACCCAAACCCCTACCACCACAAGTGGCACTTGTCACAGGCAGAGGCACCAAAGCCTCCATAACAACTGTCCTCTCTCTATGTAGGCCAGAACCGAGGCACGCTGGTGGAGAATCTTATCTTATTTAAGAGGAAGCCACCACTTCCATTGGCTGTAATTGAAATAACTACAATTTACGGCAAGCATTACTGTACTGCAGTACTGTACCAGTCTTGGGGAATACTGCACCACTGCTGCCTCTGCTGGGCTTTACAATTATGAAAATCTTCTGTTTTCATTACAGTAAATCTTACACCTCACAAAACTAAAAGTAAAACATTTAATATTTACATAGCATCTCAGATCCTCAAGGCATTTTATAGGCATAAGTTAATCCTCACAACATCCCTGTGAGGTAGGTAGGTAGGTATTATAACTATTTTAACAACGACATGGTTCTAGCAACTTGCCAATGGCCACAGAGGATCCAGGGGAAAAACCGATACAAAATTAGAGGAGCCTGGCTCCTACTCCTGCGCTTATGCTCATCAAGCTACTTCCATAAAAAACACCCCTTCTTATGTAATTAATTATTTAACCAAAACTGAAATTACTTGAAGTGTTTTACAAGAGAAATGCTGCAATTTGTTTTTGAATAGTTTTACAGATCACAAATGAGAATTTGCTTTACCTTTTACAGAATTAGATTTTAAATGGCCAACTGACTGCTCTGAACAAGCTTACTTTCTAGAACTACACGGCTTAGATATAAAGGGATTTACCCAGGTAAACACTGCTGGGGCTTTAGTGAGTGCGACGCACTATCAAAGAGATGACGCTGATTCAAACCCCTCTCTTTCAACTAGTAGGATTTGGACATGCTGAGAAAACAAGTTTCTCATTCCTGAGGAAAACGGTGAGCCCTTTGTCACTAAACAGTGAAAGACAAACCTCTGGGCAATAAGGAGCAGATTCCGGTGGTAATTCAGTGAAGATAATTAAGGCATAAATGCACATGAAAGTGGAAGTTTCATTTAGTAGTAGTCCACTTCTCCCTGTCCATGTGTATCTGTGCTTTCAAGAAGGTCTTGAATTTCATGACCCAACTAGATGGTCAGGCTTGCCAGCATCAAGAATTAGAGGTTGAACAACAGAAAAGGATTATGCCAGCATTAAAATTAGCTATTGCAATGGGGAAGGAGCTGGCAAAACCAGAAAGAAGCTACTTGATTTCTAGTCTCAGAATGAAAACACTGGAGCAATGATCTGTTTTAGCAAAAAAAGTCTACACAAATATATTTGTTACAGTTATATCATGCAGCATTTATAATTCAGCTTGAGTTGCCTTTTTCTTCCTTCAAAAAATAGGTGCAGTTTTAGAACCCTTAGTCACTTTGCACAGCAAATGGAAAATCAATGCAGTGATGCTATAAAAATTTCAGAACACTTACATGGAAGCCAACTCTCAATATTCACTGAAAATGGTGTACAAGTCTTTCCTATGGACTTGAATGAGATTTTGCATCTAGATTTACAGTGACTGGATGTGGAGAAGACCACTGAAGGATTTTTTTTTTTGGAAGGAATATAGGAGCCAAACAGTTTAGGCAGAAGCAGCCTTTTTTTTCAGGAATATGACTTAAAAAAAAAAAACTTATTCCCAGAACTTTTTGCACAATTTCATGGATGTCACTAAGCAGAGGCATCTTAGCATTTGCTCTAAAAGAAACATAAAATGGCATGGAAAGATCCCTGTTGAATATATGAGAATGGAAGGAAAATTAAGAAACCAAGAAATGAAGAATGTTCTCTAGTATAATATCAAGCAGGAAAATTACAAGAAAACCCATACTAGGACAGTTTCACTTTAACATATAATAGTAATTTTAAATGAAGGGCAAAGGAAAGTTTTAAGCAACCTGCAAAACTAGTCTTTGAAAGTAAGCATTCATACTTTAGGCAAGTCTTGACAGTCAAAAGATTCTGTGTGTCTCTGCTTGTCACAACACAGTGGGCCCGATAAGAAAAGTAATGGGTATGCACATTACTTTGTCCTGAATACTAACTCAATTTGTGCTCCCATTCATCAGTCACAATACGCAAGAGGATTTCAAAATTGTAAAGTTAATAAATATTTTTAAATAGTAAGCCAGCTTTAGGATTAAAAAAAGATAGTGACACAGCTAGTTATAAAAGAAATGATGACTGAGTGTATCAGTTATTCAGTCAGATCCAAAAAATTTGAAGGTATTTGCTATGATCTCTTTGAAGACTTTGGTCTAGACATTTGACATCGAGTACATCATGACAAACTAGCAGCTCCTACTGCTGCTGATGTTCCCAGGCTTTAATGCCCTTCATCTGAAAAAAAAGAGAGGTTTCAGAACTGCTGCCCTATCCAATGTACAAACTTGGAGAAACTCCAGAAGCAGTTTCAAAACCATAGCAAAACCCAGACAAAATTTTTTTTAAAAAAATCAGCCATCAGAACAGTTTAAATACAGAAGGATCTGCCAGGATCATTATCTTCTGTGCAAGTGCACAGTCAAGAAATCTTTTAAAGAAAAGCATTAGAGTTTCAAGAAAAAATTGAAAGCAGTACCCCTGTTCTAAAATACTATGCAAATTATCTTAGCAATAAAATACTAGCTGGGAAAGTACATTATCTAACAAGTTTTATGGTCACTTTTTAATGTGTAAATCTGCCCTAGCCCAGTTTTCATATAAATTAAGAGAGAAAAGTGTAATGAAGAGATGGCATTTTTGGCCTTGTGGATCCATGCTTGAGACAGGTATGGATTTAACTAAAAAATAAAAAAGCCTTAGATCACTTATAGCACAGTATTACAGATTTATGTCTTTTAAAAATTCTGGCTATTGTGACTAATTTTGAGATGAATAGCTGAAGAATGGCACAGAATTGCAAACATAATGCTACACAGAGCCATGTAAAGGTGTATACTGTACATTTTATATAAATTTTAAAAACACGGGAAATATTCAACAGCATAATCTAGCAGAGGATTTAAACAAAAGGGTCCACTTCTGCCTCCACATATTTCTGCAAAATTCAGTTTTACTAGACATGCAGCATCGGTTTTTGCTTCAGTTTTCTCTGGCTCATAACTGCAGACAAAGCAGGCCTTGCTTTTGTATTTGTGTGCTGCTCTCCCTTGTTGGTCCGCTATACTTCAGGGCACTATATTCTGCTGTTGTAACAGCTAAAGTGCTGATACAGAAAAACCGAGCAAGAGCAGAGCAGCTGGGAGGGCTCTGCAGAAATGGAGCTAGATTCAGCAAAACCAAAAATCCCCCACAGCACTACACATCCCAATTACCTTTCTCCACTTGAGTCAAACAAATATGGCCCTTGAGTAAAAGGGTTTGATGCCTCTGTTCTAGCATAACTGTTTTAGCTAATGCCCCAACTTTAAAGTTTGCCTGTAATTTACACCTTTTGGGTTGTTATTGCTTAAGCAAACAGTTCAGTGTAGAAATACATTGCAGTTGCGTGCAACCCGGGTATGAATCGAAACAGATACTGAAAGTAAAACTACACATGAACCTTGCATTAGACACTCATTCCAAAATGACACATCAACGTGAAGGACTGCAACAGGTACACAGCAGCTTAATGCCAACATCCTAAACCAACTCTGAAGAGTCAAATCTTGCCTTAAATTTCTTATCTAAAGTATATGAGATTTTTTTTTTTTTTCTTTTAAATTAAGGCAATGAAATGGCTACAGTTCCTAAAGTTCATTTTAGGGGAACAAAAATATACACCTTTTTTCTGAACTTTAGGCAGCAGAACATAATGTAAAAACCTGCATTGCATTAAACATGCAATGTCAGGTTGATGTAGAAAACCAGAACTAAACACAAGTTAAAATACCATTTGGTTTTTCTTCCCCATTGGAACACAAACTCAAACTTTAAGAGAGGAAAAATAAAGCTTAAAATCAGCTAAACTGTATAGAGTTTTATATGTATCTGCATCACACTCTAACATGATTTTGGGTAGAAAAGAAATCCGTACGTTTATCTGGCCACTCACATTTTAAACCAGTGCGGGGGGAAAGGCACTGCATTTATTTTTCATTGTGCCCATATCTGTTTGCACATATATGGAAAAAAAATTATATTCAAATTTTCTGTTCATTCTCTCCCACACACACATATGAGACATTGCAGCTAACACATAATAGCAGAAGCTGATTCAAAGTTGACCTCTCCTATTCCACTGTGTTATGTTCAAACTTCCAGGCTCTCTAGAATCTGAGATGGCTGCAAAGAACCCAGAGACAGGTACAAGATTTAGTCAGCGTTCAGCATTTCTCAGTGCATTTTGCAGAAAGGGTCTAAATTAGGCATAGAGTTTTGTTGTTTATTTTACACAGAGAAGTCCACCAACATTTGCCATAAATTCTTCTAAACTCTTTAAGAAGGCCATCTTCTGCTTACGGTCCAGTGTAGGAGGAGTGCTGCTTGCAGTAAGCTTGTTGAAGGCATCTGCTAACCGCTGGTAAATTACTGGGTCTTGTTGAGTTGATAGCAATGTTTCAACTAGCTCTGAATATTCAGCCTGTTAAATAAACAAGAATCTTATTTACTTAAAAAAACCCCAACAATATATACAAATGCTCTCATCAGGACAAAATCCAGACTGAAGGCTGTGACAGAAAGCTATCAGCACCTCTCCACCTGTTACCCAGTTCCACCGACCAGTGTACCAGAAGGACCCACAGCCTCTAAACCAGATAAAGCCCTTCAATCAGACCAGGTGTTTGTAGTAAGGCTAAAGAAGCCTTTGGAGATCGGTACAGTGCTTTGCAGTGCAGAGTAAGAAGAAAACCTGAAGGCACATCCTTCAAAGTGCCTTCTGGCTCTTACTTAGCACAGGCTTATTCCTGCAAACCACACTTCTCTTTCTTCATGCCTGCCCCGTGTTGAGCGTGCCATACCGACTGTCTCCTCCCACAGCTTTTCCCTTTTCTAGATTCCCTTCCCTGGGACAGAGTGCTTAGATTCCTTTCTAAGAGTCTTCTACTTACTCAAACAGAAACAGACGACAAGGAAACATGTTAAACATGACTAAAAGGACACTGCCAAGGGGCACCTGGAGCAAGCCCAAAGTGACTACTGAGCTCTGGGAGCAAGGGTGAAGGACATGGGAACCAGAATGGCAGTGCCCTCGCTTCTGCTGGTGAAGGGCTTGAGTGGGAGTAGACACAACATGAAGGTGCCACCTGTGAGTGGTGGCACAGGGTCTTTCTGTCTGACATGATCACGAGTCCCCCTTTCAGGGATGAGGGCTGCTAGCAAAAGAGAGGATCCGTATGACAAAGCGGCTTAGGAACACCTTTGCTGAAGGCTTGCCGACCTGGCAGGAAGGGCTTCAAAGGGCACGTTGGAGGATGGTGGTAACAGCTTGTAGGTAAGTGAGGAGACGGAGACCAAGAGTAGTAAGAACACAAGGAAGATGTGATAGGTTTAAGAGTGCTTGTCAGGAAGGATGGAAAAAGTAGAAAGGAGGCCAACCTCAAATGTCTGTGCAGAAATGCATTCAGCTTTGGGCACAAACAGGAAAAGCTAGAGCTCCATATGCAGATGCAGAGCTGCAACATCACCACAGGCACTGAGATTTGGTGGGACACGTGGCATGACTAGAGTGCTCCAATGGACAGACAGAGGCTCTTTAGAGCTCTTTCGGGAAGAATCGGACAGAAGATTGCCATTTACGTGAAAGGGCAGCTCAAATTAAGGATGCTTTTCTATGGACTGGGCAACAATCTAGTGGAGTGCTTAGGGGTCATGATCAGAGGAGAAGTGGTAAAGATGACATCATGGTGGGAGCTTGTTACAAATCACCAAAACAGGGCAAGTAGTGGACCGAGTCATCTTCAAGCAACTTGAAGCTTCTAGATTAGACTTACAAGACATAATCTCCCTGACATTTGCTTGAATGCCAGATGGGCCACCCAGAGGTGACTTTGCCTCTGCTACTCACAGCTAGGAAGAACTGGTCAGGGATGTGGTAATTAATGTCAGCCTTGGTTACAGTTATCATGAGATAGTGGAGTTCAGGATCCTTAGGAGAGTGAGGAAAGGGCAGCCGAGTACAGACCCTGGACATCACAAGACCAGATTTCAGCTTATCGAGGGGACTGGTGGGTGGGATCCTGTGGGAGAGAGCTCTGAAGATGAAAGGAGCTCAGGAGAGCTGACAGGTCCTTAAGGACAACCTCTTCCAAGCACAAGAACAGCCTGCCCAGGTACTGAGGAAAACAATATAAACACATCAGGACACCGACCCAGCTAAGCAGGGAGTTCATGACTGAACGCCACTGCAAGGAGGACACAAGCAGGGACTGCTACAAAGGAGGAAAACAGAAACATTGTCTGGACAAGAACAATGACAGAAAAGGGAAGTTCAGCTAAAGCTGAATTCATCAAGGGACATCAAGGGCAGCTTCCATCAGTACATTCTCAGTAAAAGAAGGAACAGGGAAAACGTGGATCCTGCTGCTGAATGGAGCAGGTGATTTAGTGGTAATGGACAAAAGATAAGTCTGAAATGTTCAGTGCTTTCTTTGCCTTGGTCTTCACTGTCAGGTTTTCTGAGACCTTTATGGCTAGAGACAGTGTTCAAGGAGGAGAAGAACTACCAGCAGTAAAGAGGATCAACTCAGGGATCTCTAGAGAAATCTTGATGCGTACAAGCTCATGGGACCTGACAGAATCCATCCAAGGGTTCAGAAAGCTGGCTCATGTCATTACAAGGCTGCTCTCTATCATCTTTGAGCAACTAAGAAAATCACGAAGCAAGTACTCCTGGAAGTTCTCTCCAGGCAGGTGAAAGAGAAAGGGGTTGAGAACAGCCAGCCTGGATTTACCAAGGGTAAATCATGCTTTACCAACCTGTCTTCTGCGATGAAATGACTACATCTGTGGATGAGCGGAGAGCAGCAATGCCTGATGTTAGCGAGTCTTTAGCAGTCTTGCACAGCACCCTCGTAACCAAGCTGGGATTTTATTGTCTAGATGGGTGGAGTACTACATGGGTGAAAACACTACATTCCACCTGGAAGCTGGTTACAAGTGGGACTGAGAGCTCTCATCTGGGCCTTGTCCTGTTAAGTATTTTAGTCCCTGACCTGGAGGAGGAGAGGAAGTGCACTCGCCTCAAGCCTATGGATGAAACCAAACTGGGGAGTGCAGCCAGTGCATTCAAGGGCGGGACTGACATTCAGAAACACCTTGTCAGGCTCAAGGAATGAACTGATGGGAACCTCAGGAAATTCAACAAGGACCAATGCAAAGTCCTGCAGCTGAAAGAGAGTAACCCCCTGCAGCTATACAGACTGGGACCCAAGAGGCTGGGGAGCAGTGCTGCTAAATAAAGGACCTGAAGGTCCTGGGGGACAGCAGGCTAAGGAGGTCAGCAGTGTGCCTTGTCAGCAGTGAACAGCAGTAGCATATCGTGCTGTATTTATTATTCGTCTTTACACAGAACTTGTTGGAATGGATGTGGAATACTGTGTCCAGTTTTGGACTCCTTAACTCAAGAAGGATATTGCTGAACTTGAATGAGTCCAGTGGTGGCCCACCAAGACTGTGTGGCAGGTGCCGAAGGCACATGAATTATAAGGATAATAAAGCATTCAACAGGCTGCTCAGAGAGGCTTTGGAACATCCATCTTGGAGTTTTTCAAGACATAGTTGGAAAAAGTCCTGAGCAACCTGATCAGAATTCAGTGTTGACCCCACTTTGAGCAAAAGGTTGGACTACAGACCTCCTGAGGGTCTCTTCCAATATGAACAATTCTGTGATTTCCCAGACGCACAGTAACTAACCACTCTCCTTTAACAAATGACTGGTTTTCAGGGTGCAAGTCTCTAAATGCCATACCTGATGCAAACACACTAATGTGTAGAATGCTTCACCTGCTGCAGTTGTCATTTCCGTATTGTGCTTCTGAAGTACCAGCATATCAAAGACCATCTGAAAATCACAAACCAGAAGTAGTTATGGAAGGGTAAACTTAACTTTCTACTTTACCGATGTTTGCTGCTG